TCAATACTATAATGCTCGAGTTTGATCAAGCATGTGCAAGTAATGTAAATAATATCTTGTAAGTAATCTGTTAGGGGTATTTTTAGGTTCAAAGGGTAAAACAGACATTTCTTCCATTAGAGAAAGTCAGCAGATAGTCAAGGCATTTTGGATTTTTTGGTCAAGCTAAACTTGAATTCACAAGTCCACATTAACTCAACCATCTGGTTAGACTCTTTTGATGCTAATTTGTCACGCCTTAAGGATGTTCAACGTCCAACTCAGCTCAAACCTATCAGGTCATCTAGTACTAGGGTTGACCTTAAGTAATCTAAGCTGTCTAAAATCTCTTATCTTGTAAGTATAAATAGCACCATCTAGGTACTATTTCCTTATTTTGATTTCTCTATTTTCCCATTCCTCACCTTTATCGATCTCTTATTTGAGCATAGGAGCACAAACATTAAGGCCATTCTCAGTTTTTTGTATGCCCCTAAAAACTAGCCTCAATATGTTAGAATTGATATATATATATATATATATATAATGTATATTATTTTATCCATTATTTTATAAATCGGGTTAAGCATACAAATTGTATATATGATTTCTTTGTTATAAGTTTGGATATGATTTTGCTATTTCATTGATTTCTAAAAATAATATCATAATAATATCCTAGTATATCTATCGATTTTATGAATATGAAATTTTGCTTTGGATTGATTTACAAAATTTATTATCTATGAAATATATTTTGAGAAAGCATATGAATTTTGATTTTTGTCTATATTAAGTAATCAAAAATATATTTTTTGATTTTTGTCTCTTAGTATAACTATGTTCTGACCCTGCCAACAGGAATTAATTGTTGATTATGTCAACATATATTTTGTGATTTCAATACCGATTGAGAATAGTGATTTTTGTTCACCATACTATTGGTGATATACTTCTATCTCATTGTACTAAACAGGTTATTTCTATCCCATTGCACTTAAGTGGTTATTGTGGTATACTTTTGTCATATTGCACTTAATGTTTTGGTCTAAATGTTTTGTGGTATGCTTAATCCAACTAAAAAGATGTCGATTACTTACTGAATTATCGTACTCATTCCTATATTTTTTTTCTTATTTTTTTCAAATTTTGATGTTTATATTTTGAGAGACTCAATCTTGATAACTATTTGGGTTAGTAAGATTAGCATCTGTCTTTAATTTGGTAAAGCTTTCGAAGTAAGTATTTTATTATTAATTTTAAAAGATTTATTAGTAAGAATTTTAGTATATTCGACCAATTTGTAAAAGATATAATTTTGTAGATTTGAGATTTTATAAAATATTATTTTGGAGATTTATTAAAGATTTTGATTTAATTCGATATCTATTGCCTTGTATGCTTATGAGATTCATCCTATGAATATGAGGCATTGTTACATTTTAAATTTTTGGATTTGGGGCGTGACATTAATACTTCATGAAAACCGTATCATTCAGTGTTCTGCAGCAATGTTCTCGAGGAGAACAAAAGCATGTGTAAAGCAAGCCAAGTTTCTTAAACTCTGCTCCTAGTTTCCTACAAGTTTCTCATTCTAATCTGTCATCGGTCCAAATCTGGGGCCTGGGCAATTAGCTATATTCCAAAATATAGAAATATTAATATTATAGCTGTTCAGAACACTGACATTGGGAGATTTAATTTCATTTTCAAGTATCACATGTATAAGAAAAATGTCATATTTTTCTCACTGCTATTGAAGATTAGCAGTAACATGATGTTAGACAACGTTCTAGTTTTAAATCTGCTTCACAATGTGGACATGAAGACAAAATAATTCCATGATACTTTAGAATTTTCCTTAATCCATTCTTTACAGCTAGATTTGTGTCTAAATCAAATAAATATTGCTCTTAATTTCTTGAACCCTAAACACTATATCTTGTCACTTTAGTGCCCAAACAACCAAACATGATGAAGACTAGTCATATGATTAATTATTTCTTTCCTTTTCAAATTAAAAGTCTCTTCATAACCCATTCACCTTGTTTTGATGCTTTATTCTCTGGAAGCCTCGAGCAGAATTTGAGAAAGAAATTGGCTTGAAATTGAGTGAATAAAAAAAGGTACCCCATGTCAGAGTTTATCAAACAGTAAAATTTTGTCAGTATGTTAATATCACTTTGTAAGTTGGATTAGAAGTTTCCTACCAAAAGTATCCCATAAAACAAGGAAAGTCCAACCAAATCTCTTTAAACCTTGGGAAGAACAAACACCACAGAGAAAATTACAACCATTTGTAGCTAAAACCTTGAACCAATGAGTACTCCAGATTCCATGATGGATCACTTCAAGCTAAGAGAGCAGTTAGGGGAAAGATGTCATGTATAGAATTGATTTAGAAACCCTGCTGGCTGTAATTTCATTGTTTTTTTTTCCAGGTCCTATTCTGTTTACCATTTATCTGCTTGTTTGTTTTCTTTACATTGTCTTCCATCATTTAAATGTGCCTCTATGGATTCAATGCAATGATCCAATTTACTAACGAATATTATTACTTGATATATATCTATCCCTTGACCTTGCTTATTACTTTAAATAAAATTACATATTTAATGGCCATATTTGCAAATGGGTCCTTCCTGCAAAAACTACAGAGAGAACCTGGCCATATGGATACCTTCAAACAGATAAATTTGGTTTGGATTTTTTTTACTCTGGTTGAAAGTTATGGGTTTTTGTATGGGAATTGTTACCAAAACACAAGCCAAGACATCTTCTTGTCCTAAATCTTGTAAATGACACAATTACCTAGATACCTCACACAAGAAGCAAGTAAAAAACAACTAAGAAGCCAAAAGTATTAGTCCATTTGGCTGTAACTCTCTTTCTCTATACTTCCAACATTACTGACCCAATTTCAGTCTCTGCCCAGCTCAACAAATAGTTGAGTTCATGCAAACCCAAGATTTAACCATCCAAGTCCAGTTTAAAATAAAATTAAAAGGGTGAAAATTTGAGTGAATGGTCAATTTTATGGTACATGTTTGTAATGAAGTTGTATGGTATTACAGAACATGCAGATGGATAAACCAGTGAAAACTCTTATGTGGAAATGTTGACCAATTAGCCAATGTTTGTTGTTCTCTATTTTTAATGAGTGAGTGAAACTGTGAAATTTTTGCGCGCTTAACGGGTTTCTCCTTGTAATCTTGCAATCATCAAATTCCTCCCAGAAAGAATAGGGAACAGTGCCTTCTCAAATGAGTCCAACACAAGACAGAACAAGTCTCCCCATTAAAAACTCCCTAATATAATATTGGCGGGGTTAGGAACCCAGCCCCCCACCCTTTTTTCGCAGAGCAGAAGAAAAGCCCTATGTAAATCTAATGTCAATTTCAAGCCCTTTATCTTGATGATATTTTATTATAAGCTTTCTGTCTCAAAGGGATTTGGGGGTTTCCTTTCTGGGCCGGAATCCAACCCCCAAAAGGCAACAACCAAATAGTTGCCTCCTCACCTTGATTTCAGTGGTCTTCTTTTTGCTTTGGTTGTTTCCCACAGACTCATTATTATTATTTGAAGATCAAACATAAGATACTTTGATGTAACTTTTTTTGGTAGTCCAGTGAAAGAAGCTGTTTTCATACTTGGGTGCAGCTTATAATGCAAAAGAAATTAAATACGCATTCATGCATATTTTTATAGCCAAGCTCCTCAATCACCAAAAATCTGGAATTTCAGTTAATTTTTTTTTTTTTAATAACAGACAAATGAAGAGCAAGACAATGTGAATCTCACCAAATCCTACTGTCTATATTCTAGTCCTCCAGAGTCAATAATTCTGAATTTGAACAGGCTCTCTAGAGCTAAAATGACTTTGCAAAAGGATTAACTGAAGGGCAATTAAGATACCAACAGGAAAGATGCGTCAATGACTCAATATCAGCCAACAAAATTCTTTTGTTCTTTCTTTTCTGGGTTCCAATCAGCATTACTCATTATCATTATAGTTATAGGTTGCTTCCAGCGGTGTTGAAATGACATATTGGTTTGCATTTTTCTTCCTTTCTTTCTTTGTTTTCGAATCCAAAGTCTAAAATAGAAAAAAAAATTAAAAAAAAGAATAAAGATAAAAAATCTATTAATCTAATGATTAAATTATAAAATATGAAACATTAAAATTTCATCCTCTTATTTTCATTCTTGTAAAGCTAAGAAAAAATGTGAAATCAAAGTTTTGGCCTTTGCACCCCAAACCTAGACCGCTGGGCCTCACACATTTCACAATAGGCTTTCTGTCCCCGCTTGCATAGTCCAATCTCATCAAATTAGTGTATATGCAAAAAAAAAAAAAAAAAAAAAACAAGCTAGAGTTGCAGACCATCTATAGATATAGCTGAAGAAAAACCAAACTTTGTGACTGATCACGAGTCATAGTGATTTCACAACGGCCCTCGAGTACCCCTTGAAGCTAAAATAAAAAGAAGTCTTTGAAATACGCAAACAGCTACAAAAATAAAAACAACAAAAACAACAAAGTCGAAAACAATATGCAGAAGCAATTAAAGAAAAAGGCACAGCATCGGTTCCAGTTCTTTATATTGGCTCTTTTCTCTTGGCCCCTTCTCTCCTCCTCTCGATACCCCATTGGCCATCTCCCTCTCTCTCTCTCTCTCGTTAATCCAAAATTTTGACCCCCTAAAACTCATGCACACTGTAAAATAAAAATTCTTTCTCGACATGCAAATGAAATTCGGGTAAAAATTCTAATAATTCTTACCACTATGTTACAAAAGAACAACCCTGTATCTAAATTGTTTCAAACAACACAAAGAAAAAAATATGAAAAAATCTCTCTTTCCCCTGTCTTCATGTCTGATTTGCGTCCCTTTCCTCCCTAATACAAACACTCTCTCTTTTTCTTTTCCCTCCCTTTCTTTCTCCCTTCGCTAAAGTCAAATCCCTTAAACTTTACTTTACACCTATGGCACTTCTCCTAAATATAAGACCCACCATTTTTTTTCGCTTTCAACGCTACCTCTTCTTTATTCTGACTCTTTTTTTTTTTTTAAACAACGATGCAACACCACCACCGCAATCGCCACCGTCAAGGCCAAGAGACAGTGGAAGAGAACAAGGAAAAAAGACCCAAGTTCTTCATCAACGATCACGTAGACATCCTCGTAGAAATTCTCAAACGCCTCGACGGCCGTTCCCTTGGTGTCGCCGCTTGTGTTTGCCGTCTCTGGTGCACCATTACTCGTAACGACTCCCTCTGGGAAGACCTTTGTTTCTGCCACTTGTCTCCTCCACCTTCCAGAGTGCGTTCCATCGTTGTTGCCCTGGGTGGCTACAAACGCCTCTACATGGCTTGCGTTAGACCCGTGCGTAGCCGACTCGGAAAAGTGAGGGGGGCTTCTTGGACTCGCGACGAAGCTCAGCTCTCGTTGTCTTTGTTTTGCGTTGATTGCTACGAAAGGCTTGGTGGCGTTGAAGGAAGTAATAGTAGTACTGGGAGACTCGTCGGGGAATCGTCAGCATCGTCTCTAATGTTCCTTTGCAAGCCCGTGAACGTTTGATAATTCGTCGTATTATCTTATTTTATAGTTTCAATTTAGTATACCTTAAAAATGAAAATGATAATAAAATTCTTTATTACTTCTTTTTTTTTTTTGTTGCTGTAACTATTTGTGAATTGTTACTAGATTTGTCATTAATGAAAAATGAATAAGTTCCTTTTCCCATATAGTTTTTTTTTTAATGATTTATAATTAATTTCTTGTTTTATTAAGTAAATTGAAAGAAAATAAATTAAAAAAACATTTTCTAGGAATTTTGGGTTTGATAGCGAAGGTTGACAAAAATGATTAAATGTAATTTGGATTTTTAGCTATGGTGAAAAAATCTTTTTGCATTTTCTCGAGAAATGATGTACGACTTACGACATAACCGTTGCCTCAACTTTCTATCCTCTGGCCTATGATGAAAAGTTAAAATAATAATTACAATAACGATAAAAAACGTAATTTCGTCCCTCGTACAAACTATTTGGAGAAAAAAACAAAGAATGTGGTAAAGGATGGTACTTCTTTAAGAGCATGAGAAATTCGTTTACTGTAGTAATGCTTTATGAGTGGAGAATTTCCAACTTACATGCATCAAAGTCACTTACATATATGAATGGCTGAATATTTTTAAAAAATAAGAATTATAGCATGCTTAAAGAGGTTGGCAATTCCATAAAAATTCAATTCATTATATATTCATAAATAATTTAGATTTATAAATTGGATTTTTATTCAATTGTGCCTATATATATATATATATATATGAGGATAAATCAAGTAACATCAATGTGAAATTAATTAATTTTATAATTTTTTAAAATTTAATATATGACTAATATTTTAACAGACTGTTGAATTTAACAATATAATTGTGTCTGTCATACATGTAAAATTTTTAATTGATTTAAATATTGTTTTTTAATATATCCAACAGTTAAAATTTTTTATATTAGACAAATAATTAGTTTTTAATTAACTTGAAATGATGACATATATAATTTACATGAATAAAGTATTAAATACAAAAGTCATATTAAACATATATAAATAACACAAAATTTTATAAATCGATGTAAAGCTTATTTTACATCAATGTAATTAGATTTTTCCTCGTATAATATATAATATAGATCTTCCTTTTTTAGTTTAGAATCCTCGGCCTTGCATGGTAATGGGCCAGAAGGGCCCATTTGAATTGATAAGTTGATGTAAAAATGCTACTTGCGCTAATGCGTCCACTGTTTTTCTTTTTCTTTTTCTTTTTTTTTCATTTTGTTATGTTTATTAATTAGCTCTTGGTATGAAATTTTTTTATGTATCTAATTTCTTAAATTTATGTAATTCTTTTTTTAATTATTATTCTCTTTATTGTCAATAAAAATTTTAGATATCACAAATAAAATTAAAATATCGTTATGTGTCTTTTTATTTATCATATTAATTATTAATTTTTTAAATATTTTCTAAAAAAAATATGTATATATGATATGATAATCCTTTAATATCATTGTAAGAGTTTAAAAACTTCACGAATAATGTAAGATATGCCCTTTTTTTAGGTTTTTGATAGCAATTCTTTAACCATCAAATAAAACCAATATTGAACCATTCTATGAAATTAGAAAATAATCATGTTTATGATAGTAAATGGTATTTCTAAAACCATGTTGAGGACATGGTTGATATATGTACAAAAGTTATACAAATTGATGAATAAGACCAAATAAGAATAAGTATTGTCTTTAACTATTGTTATAAATTGAGGTATGGGCCTGGAGTTGTGATTGTGACTGGACAAACCCTCTCATTTGGGTGGGCCAACCATCTCTAGTATATAGTACAGTTGATTCAATGTTCTTTCTTTTATGGTTAAGCTATGCTATTACAATGGTAGTTCCCGGTTGTCCCCGTTGAAGGTATGTTTCAACATTTTAGCCTTTTTTTTTTTAATACAATCACTAAAATTTTTATTATACTAATTATAATTTTTACCTTGAAGATAAAGATATAATAAAGTTTAATTCATAAACTAAATGTTTACAAATAAATTCATAAGTATATATTGGACAAAAACAAATATCCTTGAAATAAAATAAAATGATGTCACATGTCTATCCCTCATGAAATATTAGATCTACAAATATCTTAGTTAAAATTAAATGATGTGAAATCAGAGTTTAATTAATTAATATATCTAATTATTTTTAAAAAATGATATTTAATGTATTTAAAATTTAAATCAAAATATCTATTTTTAATCTTTAAATTATATTTTTTTATTAAAGAAAAAATTAAATGATATCACATGCTTATCCCTCATGGAAGAGAAGACCTACGAGCACTTAAGATAAGGTATGCCTTTTTCCTTTCTTTTTTTTTTTTTTCTAGCAAGTTTAAGATAAGGTATGCTTAATAATGACATATTTCACGGTCCACTCAATAATTTATACATAAATTTCAATGTGTTTTGTGGTGTTTAGGTGAGAAAATTATATATATATATATATATATATATAGAGAGAGAGAGAGAGAGAGAGAGAGAGGCTTTTGTAGTTAAATGAATTGAATGGGGGGTTAGAAAGGCTAGTACTATGATGTCTAAATTTCGGATTCTTCATTACCATTAAATCTCAATCTACTACTATATATCTACAGGGTGTCAATAAAGTTATAGTACATTAATACCTTGAAAACAACTTCTTACAAGTACAATCAAACTATATAATATATATATAGTACCATGATGTCTTGACCCATGGTCTACTTTCGGGGTCTAAATCCTTAAAAAAACCAAACCATTGTATCTAGGTTTGATCGATTTAAGATTTTTTTTTTTTAATGCGAAACTCCATGGATTGTAGCTACAATCTTCATCATATCTTAATCAATGATTTGGAACTATAGTAATGAAAAAACTTGAAGCCAAACCAAAAGAATACGTTGGCAGAATTGGGCAAGGTATTAGATGCTATAAAAAAATATATTTTTTATATTTAATATATTAATATTAATTATGATATGATAATTTATATATTTTATATATATTTAATATAAAATAAATATCACGTATAATTAACATGTCTAAATGTAATATTAGAAGTGAATTAACTTTAAATTTAAAGTTTAAAATATAATAATTAAAATCATTTATTATCTTCAAACTTGATTTTACAAATTAAAGAAAAAAAAGCGTTACCTATGAAAAAGAGGTGAAAAGTAATATATAACGTATGAAATGAAGGAATCTTGTTTTGCTTTTCTTCTACGTACCAAATATACAAAAGAATGATAAAGATTTTTTCTTTTCTTTCAATTGAATTATTCATTACCTAAAATAAACAAACAAACAACTAAAAAGAAAACCTTATCCTTTACCCAACTCTCCTTCTTTCCTCTACCGAACATTTTCCCCCAATAAAACATTATTTTCAATATCATAATTATTGCAATATTTAATTATGTATTTTTCGTTATTATTTTAATAAAATATTTAATTATTTTTATATCAAAATAAAAGTAAATTAATAAATACTGTGCGTATTACGCACCATTGTACAAAATAGCATCCTCACTATTAAATACTATTAACACCGTTTACTTTCACTGAAAATTATCATTTTTATTTTTATTATTAATTTTCGCCTACCCCAATTTTTCTGATCGGCGATCGACGGAATCCCTAAATCCTTGCCGTCGATTAATTTTCACTCAAAATCCCCAATTTGAAACCCTAATTTGTTTCCTCCACTCAGTTCAGTGTACTCCCCCCAAAAAAGGTTTGAATTTTTTGTTTCCTTTTTTAATTGTACTGAGATTCAGAAATTAGCTCAAAATCTTGATTTGCTCAAGCTATGAAGGACACGTGCCGATCTGGGTCTTGCTTCACTTCCATTGCTGCTCAAATCTCAGTGAGTTTATTTTTTTTTTAAACTTAATTTATGTGGAAATGTTTGCTTAATACTCTTTAATTTTTTAGCTCTTTAGTTAAAATTTGGGGTTAAACTATTTGATTTAAGTATTTTTTGAGCTGTTGAACTTGGATCCGTTTGCCTTTTTTTTAGTTAACTTAGAAATTAGTGTGATTTGGGTTTTCGAATTTTTGCAAATTTAGTTGCTTTTTTATATATTTTTTTACTTTAACTGAGAAAATTATGGAAAAAGGAAGGCAAATTAACTGTAAAGATATGGAATAAACCAAATCTGGAAAATGCTTGGATGTAGTTAGCTTTGGTAATATTGATTGATTGATTTAGCTTAAAATTTTCCTCTCCCTTTGCCTCTCGCTGGTTTCTTAGAAATCGGATAGATCATAAAAGTTAAGATCTTGAATTAAAAGATAAGTAACTAGTGTTAATTGTGTGTTTTGAAAGTTACATGACTTGGTTTATTAGAGTTTTACTTGGAGAAACGAAGCTTGATTTTGGGAAAGATCTAATGTTGTTTTGTTGACCATATGCAGAAAAAATGAGATGGCTGAATATGATAATTTGGCTTCTTTTATGGTTAAGCATTTTGGGATCAGTATAACTTTTGTTTTGAGAGTTTGGTTTTGAAAATCGTCTGAATTTTCTGAATGGAAGCAAACAAAGAGGAGGCTCTTAAAGCGAAAGAAATCGCTGAGAAGAGATTTTGTGAAAGAGACTTTGCAGGTGCTAAGAATTATGCATTAAAGGCGAAATCATTGTATCGTGGATTGGAGGGTATATCACAGATGGTGTCCACATTCGAAGTTTATGTTGCTTCTGAGGCTAAATGTAATGGTGAAATTGATTATTATTCAATTCTTGGGTTGAAGCCCTCTGCAGATAAAGAAGCAGTGAAGAAACAGTACAAAAAGATGGCTGTGTTACTACATCCTGATAAGAATAAATGTGTGGGAGCTGATGGGGCATTCAAACTTGTATCTGAAGCATGGACTTTGTTGTCAGATAGATTCAAGAAAAGTTCCTATGATATCAAGAGAAACAAACAAATGCCTTCCGGAGTGGTTCAAACTCCAACATATGCTGCTGCGGTTACAGGTGCCAGCAACTGTTCAAATTCAATCTCACTAGGTAGACTTGATACTTTTTGGACTGTATGCACATCTTGTAAGGTTCAGTATGAATATCTTCGGAAGTATGTCAATAAGAGACTTTCATGTAAGAACTGCCGAGGTACTTTCATTGCTGTTGAAACTGGGTCAGCCCCGGTGAATGGTTCTTTCCCCTATTGTCCTTGGTCTTATGTGCCAAGTAATGGATTTGGAAGTCATGGATATGACGGGGTCACATATGTCCCAACAAATGCTACTTTTTTTACTGGAAATGGGGTCTCAAGTTATCATTCTGGACATGGATATGAGTATGTTCCTAACATGTCATTTCAGTGGAGCTCATTCTCTGGAGCTTCTACTGGGATTGCGGGCCATAATGGAGTGTCAGCCATTTCCACTGATGCTGTTTATCAGACCAACGGAGATGCTAGAGGAGCAGGGTCAAAGGTGAAATCAGGTACCATTGGAAAACGTTCCATGAAAAACTTTGCCACTCAGACAACTCCAAATTTGTTCAATGGCTATAATGAATCTTCAGGATCTAAGACTGGTGGACTTGAGAAGAAAAGGAAGGTTATTGTTGGTTCCGATTTTGGAAATGGATATGACGACAAGGGATTAAAATCTTCAGAAGCTGGATTAGCAAATGGAAATGGTGTAGAGTCTGATACAAAGTTTTCCAATCCAAGTGAACCTCCAAATAAGCGAGTCTCAATGGCACCTGCATTTGATACTAGAAAGTTGTTAATTGACATGGCGAGGACAGAAATTCGGAAGAAATTGGAAGAGATTAGATTGGCTTCTGAGGCAGTTACAGCAGTTTCAACAGTTAAATTAGGCACCGAATATGATCAACCTCCACCAGCTGGAAAGGCTCCCAAATGGACAAATTTGGCTGCTTCTGTTCATCAATCAGCATCAAATAAAAGTGCACCAATCTCAATTACAGTTCCCGACTCCGACTTTCATGATTTTGACAAAGACAGATCAGAGGAATGCTTCAAACCAAAGCAAATATGGGCTTTGTATGACGAAGATGATGGTATGCCTCGTTTGTATTGTTTGATTCGCCAGGTTGTCTCTATAAAACCATTTAAGATTCTCATCTCTTACTTGAACTCCAAAACTGATAACGAATTCGGGTCAGTGAATTGGCTGGATTATGGGTTTACTAAATCTTGTGGACACTTCAGGGCATGGAATTCTGACATTATTGAACAAGTCAACATTTTCTCTCATCTTCTGAGAGAAAAGGCTGGAAGGGGAGGCTGTGTTCGCATATTCCCCAAAAGTGGAGATGTTTGGGCTGTTTATCGGAATTGGTCACCAGATTGGAACAGGTCAACTCCTGATGATGTGAGGCACCAATATGAGATGGTCGAGGTGCTCGATGATTACTCTGAAGAGCTTGGAGTTTGTGTTACTCCCCTTATCAAATTGGTCGGATTCAAGACAGTATATCAGAGAAATACAAACAAGGATGCCATTAGATGGATTCCGAGGACAGAGATGTTTCGCTTTTCTCACCAGGTTCCATCTTGGTTACTTAAAGCAGAATCTGGTAATTTGCCCGACCGTTGTTGGGATTTAGATCCAGCTGCAACTCCAGATGAACTTCTACATGCTGCAACAGAAGCTAAGGCTAAACATAACCTTGTCATGCAGGAAAAGCATGATTAGTTTGGAATTTCATTTGCCATTCTTAACAGAAATTTTAGATTGACTGTAGAAACATTTCACATTTGGTTAACGGCCAATGCAACATTAACTCCTGATGATTTTAGAGGATGTAATATTGCTGAGGAACAGTATCCGAGCATCTACAATTCTGAATCTATTGACTGTTGATTACCAAAAAAAATGCTTTTCGCAGCTGAGAACTAATGCAGTAAGTTTAATTCAGAGAGGGTCTTGCTCTTCCGTTGGGCCTAATGCAACCACACTTGGCTAGCTACCCGGCCAGTGCAGGTGTTAGACTATCAGGAAGCAAAAGGAAAAGCATAAAATCACTGAATCAAGGTGTGGATGTTGGATCGAGTTAGAGTAAGTTCAATTCTTATGATACAATGGTTTCTTTCTTTTTTTTTTCTTCATCTACGCTCGGCCTGAAGTCTTTCTCCAGAGATCCTTGTTGTAAATTGATATTTAGCAGTTAGACTAATTATCAAACTTAAGCTTATTTTTGCTCAATCATTGTTGTATGCATCTTTGATTTAAGAAATGTAAGCACATGGACGATGCATGAAATGAGCAAATATGCATGTTGTTACTGTGAAATTTTTTGTTTGTGAATTTTGGGCTGTTGTAAAATTCAGTTTTTTTTTTTTTTTTAATATTTCATCCAATTTGGCTTACAGGTGTTTTTCTTCTATCTATAAAAAAGATTGCAATCTAAAGATAGAAAAAAAGTTACAGAAGTTGGAATTTAAATTTTAGATCTATTGGAACCTCTATAATTATACGAAATAATTAAGTTAAACTTTGGTCAACTCATAGGTGCATTTACAAATTATTTTTTCTCTCTTGGCCTAATAATTAAGAGATTTTAAGAAAGACATACGGGCGTGATTTTTAACCCTGTTATCCTCTTTTTACTCGTAAGAGCATTTGCCCTCTTATGAACAAAAAAAAAAAACCTTTCCCAAATCACATTCTTTACATCAAATTATTCAAATGAATACGATAGCATCTCTGCCACTGCTACCCCTGAACTGAGCAGAGGATCATGTGGAGTAAACTCTTTTACCTCAACTTGTTAACATTCTTTTCGCTCAACGCCAGCAATTAAAGACTAATGAATTGATGCTTATTCTCTTAAAATTTAAATAAAATTCAACTTCAACTTTTGAAACCAAATTAAATAAAATACTAATATTCGAGCAAAGTAATAAATGGCTAATTTTAAAAGCTTACATATATGACATGAAACGCTTTATCAAAGGCTGATTTTTGTTTTCTCTTTTTTCAACTCAGATGCAATACATGTAAATTTAGAATCCCTTTGACAGCATGGTAGGAGTACTTCCCGGCGCAATGTGATGTCAAACTATCTTCAGAATAATGGCTCGTTATCAAACTATAAGAAGCGAATCCTCTCTGGAATCTTTATCTTCCATATCCATTCATTCAAACTGGAATCTCAAACTATCTTCGGAATATTGATTCGATATCAAACTATAAGCCAATGATAATGAGAACAATCCCATGTTTTCCAACCCCCAAATAAGTTTTATCCTCCGCTAGTGTGGTCTTATAGAGGCACAAGTGTTGTTTGTGGTAAGAGACTCTCGCAATCAATGACGAATATGAAATGAAAAAACTTAGATAAGATACCTTTAGAAAGCTATTTTAGGATAACAATTTTTTTAGTATGGTGCAAATAAACTATTGAAAGCTTAATCCTCATTATACAATACTTAAATGAAAAGATTTAAAATTATACTTCTAAAATATTTTAAACACGCATGAATTATAAACCAACAAAGAAAGTGAGAACGTAATTTTTTAAGTGATTGTATTGCAAAGATGTGTTAAAATGAGTGTTAATGAAAATATTTATAACCCTAATTGGTGTTTGAAATACCCATCCATGAAAATTCATGTCACTCTTTTTTTTTAGAATCATAACTTTTAGAGTGAAGAGATACTTTCAACGAACATATTTATCAAAATTTTAAAACTTAACTAATTGAGTTTACCATTTAATTAACTAAGATAGTCTATTAATTAGTGGACTATTTAAGTTCCCAATTTAGTCTATCGAAATAATTCCGTTAGTCAAACTTATTCTGGAATGCTCCTTATTCTACTAAGTCGATTAATCAAATAGTAAAATTTCCAAACATATTTTTTAACATTTAAGCAATTTTATTTAAATTAATTAATTAGTTGGTTAACCAGGCTTAAATTCTGGGGTGCCTGTGTATACAGCCTATCCTTTTTAACCAAGCCTTACCCATTTATTTACATGTCATTTTATTATTAAATCATAAAGTATTATTTTATATTAATATTTAAATTATATTTTATAATTCAAATTAAATAAAAAATATTACTCCTTAACAAATAATTTACCCGGATTGAGTTAGATACCCAACAACAAGTCTCTAGACTTGATGTTACTAATGATTTACTATATATAGGAGAAAGTATTCTCCATTGCTAAAAAAATAATAGATCGTTATTATGAGAAAACTTTAAATAAAGTTTTTTAAATAAAATTTTATGAAATTTTTTATTAAAAATGGTTAAATAAAATTTAAAAATTAAAATTAAAAGATTAAAAGATTTTATTACATAAACTAAGTATACAAATTTTTTAAAAAATTTAAAACTTTTATAAAAAAAAAAAATTATGAAAGTTTGGCCTTTTTCGCCCATAACTTGGTGCCTATTGAGCAAAACTTGTTTGACTTGATTCTACACATCACCGCAACCAAGGTGTTGCTCACAAGACAAAGTGTTTTAAAAAGAGAGTAAGTGTTTAAGGAATATTAAACAAAATCTTGTTCCCTCCTTATTAAATTGTTAGTCTCCTTTTGATTTTCACAAATTTTGAAAAATAAAATTGATTTTGATGTATTTAATATTAAATTTTAAAATTTCTTTTAAAATCGATATTTCATAATTTTTAATGTCAAAATAAACTATATAAAAATTAATTTTAAAATACAAAAAAATGTAAGAGATTTAAATGTTAAAAAAAGAAATATCTTAGTTGATTACAAATTACATATGGAGCACCTGGCATCCCTATACATCAAATTAGAATATACCCTCAAATTGCACATTAAAATTTTTTTAAAATTTATTATAAATTATATGTAAAAATTTAAACTGTATTTGTTGACCAAATCTTGTCAAGAAAATTATAATAACTTTAGGTAAAAAGTCAAACAAATTGAGTGTGAAGTTTTAACATAAAAAATAATAATTTTTTTTAGTTTTAATTTCAATCATTGATATTTTACCTAATAAATTAATGTCTCAAAATGTAGCTATACATGGGGATTAATTTCTTTGTCAACATACATAAATGAAAATACAGAAACTAATTTTATGTTGCATCCAATGAAAGAGCAAAATTGATTGACAAATTCAAAATAGCCAAAACTACCATCATGAAAGAACATTAAATTTTTCTTTTTTTGATCAAATGAAAGAAAAAAGGGAAATTAATTAGTGATAAAACTCAATCGAAAAATTAATTAATTAATTAAAAGAAAAACACCCATTTTTACCGGATAGCAAATGCACCAAAGAGCTGTGCCATCAAGGAATGAAAGGTGATGGGATGGGAATGGGGGCAATATGGGGTCCACAAATCTTGATTAAAATCAAAATCAGGTCCACTTATCTTCTTATCTCATCCATCAAAGCCGCTTTAAGAACATGCAATTCTAACCTCTCTTATCATAAAGTCAAATAATCTGATTGGTTCCCAAAGAGGAACTTGATTTTCATTTTAAGGAAGAAATTGACTAACATGAAAAATGACTACTTCTGGTACAGTTGCCAAATATTTTATTAAAAAAAATGGACTCATGGCACAATCATAACCACACACCACTAATCATCATTACACATCTTTAATTCCCTAATTTAGGGGCTTTTTTTATATAAACAAGTAGCAATGGTGGTGCCCTTTGCATCCAAATTACAATTTTTTTTTGTATGAATCATATATATATAAAGTAATTAAACAAAATATTTAATTTATAATACAAACATTTAAAAATTGATAATCGAGTCGATAATATTTTTTAGGAGCTGTTATGGAGTGTCTATAGACATGGCTTAAAGATTATTTAGTTACCATTTAAAAAAAAAAATTACACTTGATATATTACTTTTACTAAATTAAAAAAAATATTAATTATACTTTTCTTTTTTAAAATAACATCTTAATTAATATCATAATGCACAATTCATGAATAAATTTTTATTTATATTTATTTATATTCGTATATTAAATTTAATAAATTATTATAAATTATATTTTAAAATTTATTAATTAAATAAATAAATTATGAACATAACCAAATTTATTTATATTTAATTCATTTACACTCGAAAACGTAAATTAATAAACATTCAACCAATAATTCATAAATAAATTTAATTTTTGTTTGTTTATATTTATTTATTAAGTGTAAAATATAATCACGAACAATATTTCTATTCGATTTATATACATCCCTAGCTACTAGTTAATATTTCTATATTTTTTATTTCAAATTTGTGAATAAAAAATAATTAAATTAATTAAAATAAAAAAAATTCAACCTTATAAATTGATATAAAACATAATGTATATTATAATGTATATTGTATCCAAGAAGTTGGTAATTGGTAAGGAAAGGGTGCAACTTTGTATAAATTAGAATTATTTATAATTTGTTATTCAATGCAGCAGAGATTTTTCTACATCTTCTCTTTCATCTGACCCCTGCATATCATATGTTTTCTACTAACCTTTTCTTGTTTCAACTAATAGAAGACTATATATTACATTCCCTTCTTCTAAAGACCCACTGCTCTCTGCCTGACTTTTTGTGATTATATTAATTTAGTTAAAAAAAAAAAAAGAACAGAAAAGGACTTGGACCCTATTACATATTAGTTTCTATATTCATGTTTCTTTGGAATCTTCTCCATTGAAGTAAACTGGAATTTCTAGTGTTTCTCTCCTTCTGTTGGTATGAACTATGAAGATGCTGTCGGCCCGATGATGTTGAGGTGAAATTTAATAAGAAAAAAAAGAAATTTCTGTTGTTGAAATTCGGTCCTCTACCTCTATGGTTCATGATTTTCCTGTGTCTGAGTCTCTATATAACTGTTGAAATGCCACTCGCTATTGGAGATGCAAATGGGCTCTCTGGAAGATTGAGTCCTTGGCTGCTCCGAAAGAAAAAGGAAAAACCAACATCAGAAATGCAATTTAATTCAGTCATGGACAAAATCTAGAGCTCCTGTCCCTTTAAAAAATTGAACAACACGGCACGATGCATTAACAGCACTATTCTTTATCTGCCCTTGAACAGCAACATAAAAGCAAAGGGCATGCATGGTTCATTAGCTTCTCAGAGTAAAAAAGGCATGAAATGTACAACCTAAAAGCTTGCAAAGCTTCATCATGTCTTAGTAATTTATTCATAGCAATTTTAATAATGAGTCGAAAAGTAAAACTATCCACATGTGCTGCTTTCGAAAAGGAGGGGGGAAGAAAGGAAAAGAAAATCATACCTATCCTGGTCAGTATAATTGGTACTTGTATGCCTGACTTTTTCCTCACTGGTGGAATCAGTGCTCAGAACATCCAACAAATAATTGAATCGCTTGGCAGAAGGGAAATCTGCTTGCTCTGCACAGGCTAGAGCCATAATTAGAACGAAGGGGTGTAAGGAAACTTTAAGAAAGATAAATACAAAGCAAAAATGAAGAAACCGGCAAATAGTTGATTCACTAAGAAATTATTATACCATCTGTGAGTGTCAGTTCATCAATTGAGTAGCCAAAATAGGAGTGATTAGTCGATTGTTGCTTGGGGGCTAAATGCAACTCTGAGAAACGCCTTCTCTCAAACTCCAGTGTTTGCTCATGATCCTCAATAAGCTGCTTTCGAAATATTCTTGCATGATCACAAACTCTTGGCGCTATAAAAGGACAGGCAATTCAATGTCATCAGATTAAGCAACCAAACTGGAAATAAAAGATAAAACAAGCATCAAATAAAAAAAAGTAGTATATTTTAACAAATTAAAAGAGATATTAACTTGATTGAAGCTCCATTTCTCCATCTATAAAGTGTGGACTGTAATACATAGGATGCTGTACTTTCTCGGTATACTTCCTGCAAAAAAGGAGATGGAAAAAAAATCTGTAAGCATCAATGTGTCTTTGAAAACTAAACACAAGAAACAGTAAATAGTGCAGCACACTGTAGTGAATTTAAGAAAAAGATTGTAGCATTATAAGGCAAAAACATTGATAAAATACTTATCCAATAAGATAATCACACAGCAATAAAAAAAAAAAAGCTGCATGCTTTAGTGATTACAAAAACCAGGTGGAAAGAATAAAGTTAGCATGAACCAAGGAACACGAGCCAGCTGGAAGTAGCCTATTAATTTTTTGGCAATTAGTAAGATACAAAAGGTTCAGATTCATTATTATCTACATATATGGAAAGAGTATCCCAGTCATATTCTTGGCACCGAAAAGCACCCTTTTACCAAAACAAACTCCTATGATTACTTTTGCCTTAATTTTCAAGTTTCAGTACAACTATCATCTTAGCAAACATTATTGGAATCCATACAATGTGTACAGAAGGCGATCACACCAGTTGTAGCACTCATCGGAATAAAAAAAAAATGGTTTGCATGTAGAGATCACAATCAGGTCAGGAGGAACATGAACACTCAAGCACACATAAAAAACCTGACCTGGCCTTTGAGTTTGCATCCCAAGTTTTTAATTTAAACAATATCAACCAGAACATGTCCCCTTGCTAATTTGCACCCTCAACTAGCATAATTCACTCAAAATTATAATAACTCTACCCACTAGGACATCCCAACAACTAGTCAATCGCTAACAAAAAGTTGAAGTTTGGGGCAGAAATACATTGAATTTGAGGTTTAAAGTGTAAATTGACGATCAGCTCATTCAGGCAGAGATGCATATTTACCTTGAATATGAAACATTATAAAGAGAGATAAGGAGATAAGGTTTAAGTAATCCGCAATCTTTAGTCAAATCTGATAACTAATGTCGCTGACCCACCAAATGCTTTATGTTTAAAAATCATCACGTCTGGTGGACCCAAATCAAGAACAAGCACGTTATCAGAAACTATAATTCCTCACAACCACTACAATTGAGCAACGGGGGAGAGAAAAGGATAAGAAAGCATCTTTTGTTTTTGTAAAATTGAGTGAGAAGTAGTTTTTCTGAATGAATGTCAGGTGAGCCCCAATCCTAAAATATAGGAAGGCAAATTACTGATATAGCCTTATTTTATATTATTATTTTATTACTTTTGTGGTTTTTATGCAAATTCCATATTGTGTTGATGTCACTTGACTCGTGACGACACCAAACTCAGCAATGTGCATTATATATTATAGAAGTATAGATTAAACAAGATGAAGTACTAGACAATGTGATAATTTACATGTAATGGAACCAGAAATGTTACCTGTCAACAAGCCTTGACTTTTCTCTGTAAGGTTTTACCAGAACACGAGCCCCACATACAAAATGAGGATTTCCTTTAGCCAAAATTAGCTTCACTGTCTCAGCATAAACAAAAGTGACAAACCCGAACATCCTCTTTTGTTGGCATGGAATCCTGACATCTTGAACAGGTCCGAATTTGCTACAAAACAATTTTAAAGAAAAAAAGAAAACATATGAAATTTAGAACGAAAATACCATATTCAGAACAAATACAAAAATTATAAGGAACTCGCAATTATCTCGTTATGATTTCCTTACTTGAAGTAGTTGGAAACGTCTTGTTCTGTAAAGGTACTCTCAGCTGGGAAGGTAAGATATATCTGCCTAGAACCAGCAACTATTCCACCAGGATCACTCCTCTCGCCAGAAGTCTCCAGGTACTTTGGAGCATCTTCTGCCAATATCACTGAGTGCTGCCCATGAGGCCTGTAAACGAAAATGACAGTTTAATCCAAAATTTTTTGTTAATTGTGAAAATGCAAGATCCAAAATAAACATAACATTCACATATTGCACCTGTCAATGAGACGAATGCTGTTCTTCAATCGAGCAAGAAGTTTCGTCAGACTATAACCTGCCTTACCGTGTCTTTGGCTCTCTGTAAGGTACCCCTCAGCCTGAAGTGTCCTTCCATACTTTTCGTAGTACAACATTGGCAAAGAAGCAATAGAGACAGGCAATCCTCTCCTCGCTTTTAGAAGCTCAGTGAGCTCCAATTCTAGCTTTTCAAGAGTCCCAGGAGAGATTACACGATCATCATTCCCAACATCATTCGAATTCAGGCCGAAAAGCTGAGAAAAGCTCTCTGGCATAGGATAGCCATGGAAATACCTACAATTGTTTCCATGTTTACAGAACCCCTTGTTGAAGTAATGGCAAATCTTAACAGGAAATTCAGGCAAGCTTGGGGACCTCCGGCTGGTTCTTGCACCCAATGCAGGTTCTGAATAATAGTAATTACTCAAAAACTCGGAACTAACAGAATTGGCAGATTCTAACTGATCTTCCATATTCAAGAAATGCATTTGGTTTTGGAGACGATAATCTTCAGCAACAGCACCTGGTGGGACAAATTCCAAATCATTAACATGTTGATCAGCAGACACTTGGGGATCCCAGAAAGGAGTTGCAGCTCTTATAGTAGCAGCAGTCGAAGCCGCGCGTGCTGAAGCAGGGGAATACGTTGTAAACTGCACAGGGAGATCGGTGACAGCGGTCGGGCTCACCTGAGAGGGTGAGATTGGCACAGAAATGGCTGCTTTGTTTAAGCTAAGTTCAGATTTCGCTTTGTGGATCAAAGAGTGGAGCAAAGTATCAGGGCCAAAGGCCAAACGGATCATGTCCCGGTCCCCATGGTCTTGTAAAAGGAGATAGCCAATAATTTTAGAGACATTTTCAGGCTCTAGCTGTTGGATTCTATTGTACACAACTTTGGTCGATTCTGTAAAATCCATCTCAGTTTCTCAACCCTGCAAGTACATGTAAATACATAAATAAAAGCATGTAGGAAACAACAGTCAACACCTCAAATATACGTGTCACTAACAGAAAGACAAGCGCATAAAAAGGACTGTAATGAAATAATTGCAAATCAAATAAGGCGAATAAGCCTGGAAAAAGAGACCAAATACATCTGATTCTAAGCAGGGAAAAGCCACCAACATTATCTGTACGGACTATCATTTCCCTTATATTTCAAGACCATAAATAGAATTAACATTAATACTTATAGAATGACCACAAGTTCAAACCATATGGCTAACAGGCTAAGAAAGCGGTGGATCCAGGTAAAAAGTAAAAGATGACAGCAAAATGAAAAGCTGGAAAATTTTCCAGCCACAGAATAGCTAATTTGCTACAACAACGGCTGTGTTTAGCATAACAGGTAATATAAACTGTCTTAGAACCAAACCATGACTTAAAAAATTAACCATAAAGCCAATAGAAAAAAATGTGCTCTTTTTTTTTTTTTTTGGATCCTGGGTTTACGCCCAACAACGACCAACCACAAAATATTTGTAAGTTTCCATATGAAAAAAAAAAAATCAAAATTTAAACTTGGAATAGTTGTAAATGATTGGATTTGAAGAAATTATGAAACCCCAGAAAAGAAAACTACAGAATAGAGGTGGCAAATATTAAATTTTAACTTTTTTTTTTAACCTTTCTATGTATCTTCTCCTTTCCCATTAAAGAGAAACTCATTTTTTTGTGCTGGAAACAAGTAGTCCAGCAAATTGGACAGTTTTGGTTATTAATTTAGAAACATTTTTCAAGCAAGACCATGTTCAAAATTCATAAGCATTAACCAGTAAAGAAAGCCAAAAAAAATTCAAAGCTTCTGCTTGTTTTCTGCTTGAACACAACAATGAACCACTGAAAATGCATTCAGAGCAGAAAAGCAGAAGTTAAACCACAGTTGAAAGAGAAAAATATGAACCAGAACCTTATAAAACCTGAGTATCTAGTCATTTTAAAAACAATTAAACCACATTTCTTTGAGAACCCATGTCGAAAAATACAAACTTCACCAGAATTAACCATTACAAAGAAACCCAAAAAAAAAAGTGAAAGTCCAAAGGAAAAGCAGACTTTGAAAGCTTTTTTATAGCAAAGATCTAACATACCCACCAAATCTAACAGGCCTCTGAAGATGAAAAACACAAATAATCAAAGGAACCAATTCGAGGCCTCAAATTCTTCCATGGCCATCATTATTTTCTCCCCCTTTTTCTTTCTCTCTCTTCCTCTAGAGTTTACTTTCTTTGTTTCTTTTTTGCTCCTACTACTATAATTTTATCTTCTCCCTCTACAAACGACACCCTGCTTAAAATATTTCAAAATGACAGAAAGGATAGCCTTTAAAGAGAGCCTTGTCTTTGGCTCAAATCAACACATACTTGAATAAATATACACTCATTTTCCCCTACCTCTCCTCTCTCAACAAAAAAAAATCACATGAAAAAAAAATTATACTATATAAAGAGAAAATAATTTTGATTGATTTTATTTATTTATTTAATTAAAAAAAGTCACTACTTTCCCATTTGTTGTTGTTGTAATGTTGTTGCTGTCGCCCTTATCTTTTTCTTTTACTTAAAAAAAAAATTTTCAAATGTTTTCTTGTTGCCACATATTTTTTTATTTAAATAAAAGAATATTTTTATATATTATGAAATTCCAGGTTGTAGTTGCTGTTACAGAAAATTTCGTGAATTTTATTGAAAATGCGCCTGGATTTCCGAAACAGTTTTGTCTTTTAAAATGACGTTATTGCCCTTTTCCATTTTCCGAAATGCCCAATGCATGTGAGCATGTCTTTGTTTCATTGTTTTATTTTATTTATGGAAAACAATATAAATCAACTTGTCCGGAAATATCTATGCGGCAAACTGGCCAGCTTTTTCTAATTAAAAAGTCGAAACTCAACTTCGATTTGTCTTTGTACTGCTTGAGGAGAAAAGGAAAATATGTGCTATGCCCAACGAAATACAAACCTCAATCTCACCGTTGGATCAATGAAAATAGATGAACGGCTATGATTAGCGTTTCGGAAATCTATCAGGTCAAAGAAACAGTCTGGTTCCAGGTGCTGCGCAGAATGCGGATAATCACAGGGAACCATTGCCCCCAAATATTTAGGTGGGACCCACATCATCCGTAGCCCCTATCCTAACTGGCATTTATGGACCCCACTTTCCAACCCAGTTCACTTCCCCGTGATTGGTGCTCCGAGTTCTCTCTCAGTAACTTTATTTTTTCATTATTCCTTTGACATAAAATAAAACGATAAAAGGATTTTTAATTTATTTTAATTCGGCCATGCAAAATTAATATTTAATAAAAAGGGCAAAGGGGAAAAAGGTGGAGAAGGTCAAACTGGTAAAAGGGAAAAAGTCGAGGGTAGTTACAGTAAAACGGAAAATTGGATGAGGTAGTGACCGGTTCAACCGGCACGAAAAGTGGGATTGCCAGTTACGGTCAACGGCAGACGGAACGAATCCTAGATTTCGAAGAATCCAATCTGATTTCGAGTTTCAGATTGCTGGAAAAAAGGTCGGGTCGTTAGGGCTCTCCGTTAGAACCGGGACTTTCCGTTAAACTTCCGGTAATTTTTCCCACTTCTTTGAAGTTTGAAGTTAAGTCTCTTGCTTTACATTTTTTTCTGGCTATTTTTTGCTTGTACGTTCAGTTTATGTCATTTTTGCACCTACAACAAAAATGTGTTGTAACAGTAATTGATTTTTATAATTTAAAAAAAGTACTTTTTTTTCATTTTAAATTGGCTGGATGTGATTGATTTTCATTAAATTTAAAAAATATTTATTTTAATATTTAATATTAAAATTTAAATATTTTTATAAAACTAATGTTTAATGATATTTATTGTTAAAGGGTAAAAATAAATTTTAAAAAATAATTTTAAAACATAACAAATAAAAATTTTAAATATTTTAAAAAATAATATAATTTTAGGATTTCTCAAAAAAATAAATAAAGAAAAAATAGAACGGAAAGATTACTTGATTTAATTTAGTTTTATTTTTCAATAATTTTTAATTATACAAAAAATTATATTTTTCCAACATTTTTATTTAGCTCTAGTTTTTTTCTTGATTTGATTTATTTTTATGTTTATTAATAAATAATTATTTTTTAAAAAAAATTTGTCTTAAAACTTTTACTTCAAATATTAGCAAAAAGAACTTATATTTTCATTTAATAAAGTTTAGTTTTTTATATCTTATTTATTGAAAAAGTAAAATTTCATCAATATTATTTACATTTTATTGGACTTTTGAAATAAATTTTGCTAATTATTATTTTAACTCATTGGTTAAATTTAAATTTGATAATTTTATATATTTATGTTATATTTATTTCATATCAAATATATGTAAAATATAAAAATTATCATGTTACAATTCACATCGATATACTAAAATTAAAATATATTTTTTATTTTTATTTTTATTAATTATATATATTTTTAATTAAAATTTTAAATTATATAATTGTTTTCATATTATAATATCATCGTTTTATGTTTAAAACTAAAATGTGCAATTAGAATTTAATGCATCGATATAACTATTTTAAGTTTGAATATTGAGATCATTAATATGGGTGAAATATTACGAGAAAACGATGTGTTACGCTCTTTATGATTTTTTTTTTTTTTTTTTTGCCACGATTACACTCTTTATAGTTCAAGCCTCCATGGATTTATATGTAAAAAAAAAAAAAAAAATTACTTATTTAATTATGAAATGCGTTATAATTTACCTATCTTACCAATAATTATACTCAGAGTAGTTCATAGGATTGATTTTGAATAATAAATATTTTAAATCTGTTGTCATTGTTATTTTATTTTGAAAATATTTATATTGACTAAAATTCAATTCTGAGTTGACGTTAATTTGTTTGTGATATCAAATTCATTAAGAAACTTTATAATTTTTTTATATTTGAAATATCAACATTTAATTTCTAATTAATAAAATTAAAAATCGAATATATTTAAGTGTAGATGTATATAGTAATGCTAATCTTTGGAGTCGTTAAATAATTTAATCAAATTATTTGATAACCGTTTTGTTCAACAGTGAAGTCGCTCTGATATTCCAACATTTGATTTAATAAGTCATAAAATTTCCGTTACTTAAAGGGTAAGATTTGAAATTTTCATTCTTAATATATTAAAATATCATGTCATAGCATAAACAATACGTTTTAATCCTCTAACCTCGCTTAATTTGATAAAATTAAAGCTTTAATACTAATTTCAAATTAAAAATCAAGCGACTATGAAAGTGCTTACAATTTGTAACCAAAAAAAATTTTAGTACTCCTTCTGTCTTTTTATTTATTTTTATTTTTTTTAAGAAGTTTTAAAATTATATATTTTTTTTAACATCTAACAATTTTTTTATTTTTTAACATTAAAAATTATAAAATTTTAATATTATACAAAAATTACAAAATTTTAATATTATAAAAAAAATAAATTTTAATATTAAATATATTAAAATAAAAAAATTTAACTTCATAAAAAATCAATGTATGACAAATGAGACGAAAAAAGCATCATTTACACAATCTTCAAAGAACATAGTGGCAGTGTATCCAAGAACTTATTAAAGAATATCTTTTTGCAATTTTTTATAATTAGATTTTTGGAAATTATCATTAATTTTAAGCAAAACTATTCATTAGCCTCGTAAATTGGGAATTGGTTGACAAATCCCAGACTCTAAGGTTTCAATCCAATATTCCGTGTGTAAAACGTTGCTTAATTAATCGGTTGCCAAAGTTCCATTAAGTTTGTTATAAAGTGTGATTAAGGCAAAAATATGACAATTGATGATTTTAAATTAGATACAATGATATCATATAAAAGTAATATAAAAAATATAAAAATAATATAGTTTAAAATTATTATAAAAATTATATATAAATTTATAAAAAGTTAAATTTCTTATATATTTAATATTTGAATATGAATTATAATATAATTATTTTTATATTTATATATATTTAACATAAAATAAATAAATTATAAAATATATAAAGATTAATTATCATGAGTTTAATTAAAAATAATTAAGGTTTGTGATTTGGACACATTAGTCATTATTAACCAACAGTAATTAAAAATAAGTGACCCACGTTGCATGTCTTTTCGGTTTTTTTAATTGATCCCATTTTAAGCAATTTGATTAGAATTTGTACGACATATTAAAGCTACCTTAAACATTAATTTAGTGCCAAATAAGTAATTTTACTGTTTATTTTATTATATATATATATATATATATATATATATATATATATTAAAGAGGTATGGTTGAGGTAGTAGAGTAAACTAACTGCCTAGGCCGATGAACCACACCTTTTCTTTAATTGCTCAACATCCCTGACTTTATTTGTTTGGTCCAATCTTGATGGATCCTGGTTTAAACGGTGATAATTTTGACAGCATCCATCTAGCCTACTAGATTAGTATTTATCTAAAAGTAGATTATTTTTCATCACATAAACTCATAAATACAATCAATAAAATTATATTAAAATTATCCCAACTTAATATAAAACTTAATTTTTAAATAAATGGCATGCGTGATTAAAGTTCATTTGAGGGATATTTTTCGTAGTAGTAATAGTAGTTGTATTTTTTTGGGTTAAATTTGATTTTTGTCCATGAATTTTGGGTTAATTAAGTCATAATAACTTTTACTTTATTAAGAGTCAAATACGGATATCAATAGGTAAAATATAAATAGGGTAGTGAGTATTTTTTGTTTTCAAATTTTTATATTATATCTAATTTTTTACTCATATCAAATGAATATTTTAAATTTATTTTTATTTATATTTTTACAGATATTTAATAAATATGAATAGTTTTCATGCCCATAACTTTAAAAAAATAAAAAATAAATTTATTTTTTAAATAATTTTGTTTTTTATCTTGTATATTTAAATAATTTTGTTATAAATATTTATTAATATATATTTTAATAAAATATATTAATTTTAATTAATCTAAAATATTAATTTATATTATTTAATAAAAAATATATTTACTAAATATATAAATATATATGTAGGATACGATTATGAGATAGATACCATATCATCCATCCCAATCATTATACCCAATAAAAATTTAAAATCATACCCATCTTTATTTTCATCCACATACTCACAATATAATATTCATCTTCATTTCAATTCGTATAAAAAATCAGATTCTTCATTAATTATGGATAAAATTGATATCCTTAGGTCAAATATAAATTAACATCGTTGACTTAATATTATAATTGAAAAAATTAAATATGTAACTTGAAAAAACTTGATTTTATTAAAAGATAATCTCAATTCAAATTGAGACAACTATTTTAAATAATTTTAATTAATTTAT